TGTTCATGCAAAAACTTGTACAGTAGCGTACATAGCAGCTTTATTCATAATAGCCCCAAAATGGAAACAACTACATGTCCAGCTGATGAAGGAATACACAAAATGTGCTGTGCACAGCGGTGGGCTATTATTTGAGAATGAGAAGGAGTGAAGTGGTGGCACATGGATGAGTTAGCACATTATGCTACGTGAAGAAGCTGGTCACAAAGTGTCACATATATGTGTGACTCATGTCTATGCCGTGTCCAGAACAGGCCCATTTAGAGACACAGAAAGCAGATGAGGGGTCGCCAGGTCTCCGGAGGGAAGGAGGAAACGCAGTGAATGAGAATAGGGGTTTTTGGACGGGTGATGAAAATATTTTAAATAGGCAGTGCTGATGATAGCACAACTCTGAGTATACTAAAAACCACTGAATTCTGCCCGTGAAGAGGTTGAATTTTATGGCATATCATTTATATCTCAGTAAAGCTCTTTTATATACTCACACACAGGAGTCAGTAGACAGGATACCCAAACAAAGGGCCATCTCACCTTTCTGCTCTGGGGACACATGGCATTGCCACCTGACGTGGACATGTAGTCCCTCCCCAGCCATGGACGCTGGGTTCCTGAAAACCCCACTGTCAAGATAATTCTTGGTTTAGAAACTAACCTTCAAGTAAAAGTAGAGTTAGAGGTTTTGGATCCATGAATGACCCTATTTTTAAGTTCAATATAATGGAATAGACAAAACATGAAAAAGACTAGTAATAACTTTGCTCTGTTGCTCTGTGTGAACCTACTACCATTGTGAGCACTGGGAAATTAATTTCTTTTTGTAATCCCTTGCTTGTTAGAATCTTCATGGTGCATCCCATGCAGTTTCAAGGGAATGTATGGTTTCGTTTTGCTTTCTTGCACATAGTATGTATATTGAAAGGCCTTTTTTCCCTGCCAGTCCCTCTACCCAACTCTTAGGTACTTGCAGGGACCCTGAGGCACCCAGTGACTGGGATACTTAGGCCGGTCAGAGTCCTTGTAATCTTATTTAACCACGCAGCTATATTTCAGAGATCCTCCTAGGCTTAGAATTTAGCATTTATTGCATACCCACCGCGTGCCGGATACTGGATGAAGGAGACGCAGCCTGGTCCCAGGCCACCTGGTCCCCAGGCCACCGGGCAGGACAGAGGGCTCAGGCTTTGGCTAGCTTCCTTCTTTTTCCTTCAGGCTGCAGTGCAGGGCGGAGGGCGGGGCAGCTTCGCGCCTTTCTGCAGCCTTTCTGGGCTCCTTTTTCTGTTCCCAGTCCCCACGTCTCTCTTCTAATTAGCCTCTCAGGAAAGACGTCTGCAGCCCACATTCTGTGGTTGAATAGCAAGTGGACTAGACTTCTGCACGAGGGAGGCCCGAGGCTGACCGGAGCTGCTGTCCTTGCTCAGCATTTGGGTTTGTCCTCACGGACTGGACCAGGAGCACGTCACCGAGCACAGACACCCTTCTGCGTGGTCCTCAGCAGTCCTGGGGCAACCAAAGTGGGTAGCAGAGTAGGAATGTTGTTTCTGCAGTCTGTTCATTAACTTTTAATGAGAAAACCTTCTCAAAGTGTGTCTTTTCCGGTTTTAACTTTTATTCTGTTTACATTTAACGGAGCTCAGAGAGTGTTGTGTGTACCCAGGCAGCAGCAGGCACCGTCCCTGCTGTGTCGCCCTAAGCCCCCAGCAGCTCCTGAGGAGGGAGGGAGGTGATCTCTGTGGGGCAGGGACTCCGGGGGAGGGGGAGGCTCCTGTCCTCACATGTCCTTGAACCCCATTCTCCCCTGCCTTAGTGTGCTCCTGTGTGACATGGGGATAACCCCGCGAGCCTCAGTGCAGGCTCGTATGGAGTTGAAATGAGATGGCTCGGCCCGAAAGCTGAGTGCTGGGGCTGCCACGTGATGCCATGGCGGAGAAGAGGCATCTTTGTCTTCCCCGAAGCCTCACGCCTGCCATGGCCGACTTCTCTGCAGGCCTCGGCGCCGCCACCTGAACAGCCTTTGCATTTCCCCTACTCCCTTCACATGCCCCCTGACTTTTCTGGAACAAAAGGAAGCCTTAGGATGACCCTGAGGAAGATATGCTACCTCTCTTCCCATCCTCGCTGCAACTGCTCCTTTAATCTCCTGCGTATCGCATTAGACCACCTTAGCTTACAGGTGAGCGACATCAGAACCTCCCAGTGCAGAACTGGTGATGTCAAACGCGCAGGATGCATCTGTGGACAACTCCTTTCCATGAGTGTCCTTGGGAATGTCCCTCCTTTCCATAAGTGGGTCCTCGGAGATGTTCCTTTTTTTCCATAAGCGTCCTCGGGGATATTCATCCTTTCCAGGTGTGACCTCCGGGTTGTCCCTCCTTTCCATAAGGGTGACCTCAGGGATGTTCCTCCTTGCCATGTGTGTCCTGGGAGATGCCCCTCCTTTCCATGTGTGACCTCGAATATTCCAGGCAGTGTGTGGTGAGGGAGCCCGTCCTGGAATAACGTTTCATTCAGTGTCGTTCCTTATAACGTTTATGCAGTGCCTAGGAACTTAACTCGTTTCCATCAGGTAGCTGGTGGTAGCATTGGTTTCATTATGCGTCATCTCACCTGAAGTCGCAGATCCTGTGGGCCCCCTGAGGCGGGGACTCACTACCTGCCCCTTCTCACTCACCCTTGCCAAGTTAGGGTTCGTTCTTTCTACCTGGGCAGAGTCTGTCCTTCCTTTCCTCCTTCTCCCCATTTCTCGTTTACTCATCTCCCTTTCTTTCTCTGCACCCCTCCTCTCCCAGCTCAACACTTCCTTTCTCTGACACCTGTAAAGGAAATGATGGGGTGTGCAGAGAATAGGAAGGGGCCCCAGATGCCCCTCACCTCACCTCCCATTCTCCTCTTTTTGAGCTGCACAGAAACTCAGACTCTGCGGGCGGAACCTGGTGTGAAACCTAGTGAACTCGGGGGAGGTGGGGACAAAGGGGAACTGGCTCTGTCTGGCCCCGTCCTTTCTCTCACTGCTGCGAAGGCCACAGGAATCGCCCCTCCCCCAGCAGCCTCCGGAGTTCCAGCACTGGATACCGGGGTTCCAGCACTGGATACCAGGCTGTTCCCCTCCCCATCCCCCTCCACAGAGGGGGTTTCCTTGAATGTGAACAGCAGAAATGGGCTTTGGCTGACTTAAGTGAAAACAGCACAAAAAGCCTTGCAAGGCTGCAGTTTCTCTTCAAGCGGAAGGTAGAGCTCATGGCCCTTGTTTCAGTGGGGACAGAGCTGCCCCGGGGAGCGACTGGCAGCTCTGTCTGTGGACACTGCAGCCGGGGTGTCAGCGTCAGCCTGGGCTGCTCAGCTCACTGCTGTTAGGGCTCAGGCTCTCGGGAAGGCCTTGGCCCAGCTTGTACTCCTTGACTGAGGGCGAGTTCTGAGGTCTGTGGTCTCCCCCAAAAGTCAGACTCTACAGCAGCGGTTCTCAACCTTCCTAATGCCGCGACCCCTTAATACAGTTCCTTATGTTGTGGTGTCCCCAACCATAAAATTATTTTCGTTGCTACTCTATAACTAATTTTGCTACTGTTATGCATCGTAATGTAAATATCTTTTTGTTTTCCGATGGTCTTAGGCGACCCCTGTGAAAGGGTCGTTCCACCCCCAAAGGGGTCGCGACCCACAGGTTGAGAAC